TAAAACACACACGAGGAGACAAGACGGCATTGTTTTCGTGAGTGACGATGGTTCTACATAAGAAACTGAAGGAAATAAGACCCTGGTTGTAGCTGTAGTGAACTTAATTTAAAAAAATTGAATACCTGTATGCATGTTATATAATGTTCATAAATGGAACACTAGAAGTAGCTGACCACTAATGGTAAAGAAATAATGCGAGACGATTGGGAACGACAACGTATGAACAGTACAGTGGTCCCTCGGTTAACGAACACAATTCGTTCCAGAAGGTTGTTCGTTTACCGAAAATTTCGTTAACCGAAACCATTGTTTCATTGGGTTTTTGGTTAATTGGTTCCAGCTCACCGAAAATTACCTTAAGTAAAAAAAAAATGCATTTAAGTACACTTACTTTGGGGTGTGTATGTAGAAGGCTCCTGGATGATGATGCTGATGTGAATTTTAAGTGGGAGGTGGAGGAGGAGAAGGAAGTGGGGGTGGAGGAGAAGCATTTTACTGCTTCTTGGAAGGGGAGTCACCTTCCACGAAAATTTCAGGAACCTCTGGACTGACAGATTCTCCAGCAGGAATATCCTCTCTCGTTCTTGAAGTGGAAGGCTGAGGGGTAGCATTTGTTTCCCGATGCCTTTTAGTAAAGAAACTGTCAATTTTGGGTTGTGGGGCATTTCTCCTCCTCATCATTAACTGATGTTTGAAGGAGACCACTCTGTCCTCAACATTACACAAAATAGGTTCTGTTGTTTCCACATCTGGGTGCCTTGAAGCCAGTTTCCTGAACTTCTCCCAGTGGTGAACAACATCTTTCAAATCTGAAGTTGACATATGGTCATCACTTTCCTTTCCCTCCTCACCACTGTCAGCCTCTAACACCCAGTTGCTGCAAGTCTTCAGGAGTAAGTTCCTGCTCATGAGACATCACAAACTCTTCCACATCATCCTCCTCCACTTCAAGGCCCAATGACTGACCAATGGACACAATCTCCTGGTCCAACTCTGCTTCTTCCTCAAATCCCTCAAAATCATGGACTGCTGATGGCCACAGTGTTTTCCATGCAGAATTGAGGGATCTAATAAGACTTCTTGCCATGATGACACATTCAATTTTACAGCCTCCAGGATGTTGAATTGTGTCTTCCAGAACTGTTTCAGTGTTATTTCAGGATCAGTGGAAGTTGCCTGATAACACCTCCTGAACATTTTCTTCATGTACAGCTTCTTGAAGTTGCTGATCACATTCTGGTCCATTGGCTGCATGATTGATGTACAGTAGTGTTGGGAGGCAAAAACAACACTTTGACAAAGTCAAATTGAGCCTCCAAAGTGCTGGCAAGTTCAGGGTCATGAACAGGGGCATTATCCATAAGGAGAAGAGCCTTTAAAGGGAGTTTATTGGTGGTTAGGTAGCTCTTGACAGAAGGACAAAACACCTCAACAGCTCATTCATTAAAGAGCTGTCTTGTCACCCATGCCTTGCCGTTGGAATTCCAATAAACTCCAAGCTTTCCTCTTACCACTTTTTGTTGTTTGAACACCCTGGGGATCTCAGAGTGGTAGACAAGCATAGGCTTCAGTCTGAAATCCCCTGAAGCATTGGCACCAAGCAATAGAGTGAGATGGTCTTTCATGGGTTTATGCCCAGGTAAAGAGACTTCATCTCTGGTGATGAATGTTCTTTTGGGCATTTTCTTCCAAAACAGCCCAGTTTCGTCCACATTGAACACTTGCTGTGGAAGATAATTTTCTTCATCCGCCAGTTTGTTAAAGTCCACTACAAACTTTGCTGCTCCTTCTTTATCTGCACTTGCAGCCTCACCATGCCTAATAACACTGAAAATGTCACTTCTTTCTTAAATTTTTCAAACCAGCCCTTGCTTGCCCAAAAATCTTCGAACTCTGTGCCAGAAGAACCTGGTTGATCTTCCTTTAAATGTTATCTACCTGGCTTTTTCACAAATAAATTCTGTAGAAACTGAATCACCTTTCATTTGCTTTTCCCTGATCCAAATGAGAAGTAACCTCTCTGTTTCTGATATCAATGATCTACCTTTAAACAGTCTGGTAGATTTCTCTCTCACTTTCACTTCTTTGAACTTGTCTTTCTGTGCAAGAATTGTCGACACAGTTGATGCCGACATGCCATAGTCTTTACTAAGCACATATGTTCTAATGCCCTGTTCATGTTTCTTTATGATTTCCTGCTTTACCTGGATTGAAATAACTTTTCTCGATTTTGTTGGAGCCATGCTGGATTCGATTTCAACACTGAAATTTTAAGTTTTATTGCTGTAAATAAAGAAATTTTTCTTTAAACAAACACTGCACTGCTCTCTATATTATCAATATGTAAAATATATTTCAAAATGACCAATAATTTGACTGGAAACACAGAAAAAAAGCATTTATGTTGAAGAGTCTCAAACAAGATGTTCCTTCCTCTGAACCGATAAACAAACTGACGCCAAGCTTGGTGTGTTCAGTGTCTGTTTGGCGCGCAAAAACTAGTTTCCTGTACTTCAATTATGTTCAATAATTGTTAAAATGACTAAAAAATTTAATATAAAATTTTTAAAATTCTTGAATAGCACAACCTTTTTGACATTTACTAAATTGGTAATGAATTTAAGCCCTAAAACCAATTACTGTATCGGCGGACTAATACTACAGCTGGTGAGCAGCCAAATGCAAGCGAAAACATGTTGGGAAAAATTCGCAAGGAATTCGTTAACCGAAGTGAAGAATCTTATGGAAGGTAATTCGTTAACCGAGGCGTTCATTAACCAAGGGATCACTGTAAGTGCGTACATGTGAAAACTTATCATCATTTCTCTACATATGAATATGAAAGCAACACTTAATTACTGTTCAAATATGTTTTAATTAATATTTATGAATGTAAAACAGAAATTCTACTCACCAATGGTGGTAAAGTCTAAAACATAAGGACAGCCAATGAATATTGTGCGAGTTTTTACTCAGCTGACGAAGTCATCAGGTTCAACTCAGGCTGAAGCTGTAGCTTTCCATAAAGCTGTTGCTGAAACTGTTACCGAACCTGAAGCTGCTTATGATGTTGAATTTGATGGTGTAGCTGAAGTTGATGGTTTAGGCTTTCGAATAATAAAGCTGTCGAAAGAACCTTGCATAGCTGCTTTCTTTTCTCATTATACATCTTTATGTAAAGGTCATTTGCGTTTATTTAAATTTTAAGGCTTTGTTCTGTTAATGGATCCACTTCAGAAAATATGTTCATTGCTTGCTCCATATAATATCCACAGACCTCTCACCTTTTTCATATCGTTTTAACACATCTAGTTTCTCTGCTAAGCTTATACACTTTCTATTAGCCTTTGAAACAACACTACCATCACTTGCTCTCTTGTTCATGTTTAATAGGGATGCAAAAATGCTGTAAGAAACTTGAGAAAGTTTTTCTCCTGTTCCTGTTCCAGATGCGTGAAAACAAAAGGCCCGCCAAGCTCCGACTGTTGTTTACCACTCATTAACCAGGCAGCTTCTTTGCGCAAGGCGCTTTTCATTTTTTTACAGTAATTTTTATTTTATTTTTATAATACTTATTGGGATTTAGTTATTATTTTTATGAAAATGTAATTTTATTTAATTTTTATTTGGTCATAAATACGAATGAAATAAGGACATAAATTGAATTGGGTCCTAAATTAACTAGGGTCTTAAATATGAAAAGTTGTTGGTCCAACTGTTGTTATCAGAGGCTTTTCTGTATATTGTATTTACATGCACAAAATCATGTTTTCCCCTACAAAACTAGTTTAAAATCACTTTCAATAATTGTATGATGAAACATAACTTAAAAAAAAATCCACAAAATATCCTTGTAAAATAGGGTGTGTCTTATGCGGTGGTGCGTCTTATACGCCGACAAATACGGTATATTTATACAGTACTCGTATATATATTTTCTTGATACCTTGCTTTATTTTATCGCAATAAATGGTTTCTGTCAAATTGAAATAAATTTTCCCTTTACTGTATTCTCAGGGCAAATTAATAATTATTTCTTGCATTTACTTCTGTTATTAAATATTTAAATTGCAGGTTATATATGATGAATTTACACCATAAGAACGCTGATCAAACAAGAATGTAAAAATGAATCTATCTATATAAAACAAAGAAGTATGTCTGTTTGTATGTTTGTGTGTGTTTTTTTTGTTTGTGTGTCCGCACAAGAATCTTGGAAACTACTTTACCGATCTGTAGTGATGATGGATGGTGTTTTATGTAGTGATGATGGATGGTGGTATATGTAGTGATGATGGATGATGTTATATGTAGTGATGATGGATGGTGTTTTATGTAGTGATGATGGATGGTGGTATATGTAGTGATGATGGATGTTGTTATATGTAGTGATGATGGATGGTGGTATATGTAGTGATGATGGATGTTGTTATATGTGGTGATGATGGGTGGTGTTATATGTAGTGATGATTACACAATAAAATAATAACAGTTTAATGCTAAAAATATATACTTTGCTGTACCGTTGTAGTGAAAAACATGGTGGAACTTACATACACCGTTAATGAACTATTGATGGAAGAAGAAGTTTTGGGGACTGAACAGTGAGACAATGTGGAGCCTCCCGGAGGATGGCGTCCTACCGTTGCCTAGCGTGATTCTGCTAGTTTATAATAAAAACAAGTCCAAAGCTGGCTGACACAGTGATGCCAGATCCCCCCTACCTCCCACCCATTATTTTTCCTCCATTGTTCATGGACCTCATTAGGCATGAACTAAATCTGATTGCTCCAATAAATTCCCTGAGCAAATCTTTTTCATTTTATTGGAGATTATTATAATTTTACTCATTTTTTAAAACCCTAATGTTTCCCTGTCAGAGTAAATAGTCTTTAAAAAGCATATTATTGTTTAAGGGTTAATTAATTGCATCTTATTAACAAAATATTAATTCTGTGATCATAGTGAATCTAAAGGGATGTTTCAAATTTCTTCAGGATATTACTACCTGGTCAAGTGAAGAGGGCTTCTTGGACTGGTCATGGTTAGTCTCATTGTGGGTGTATCGTGACCCCAGTGTGACGAGTACAGGACTTATGATAGCTGCTGCTTTAACCACCCAAGCCCGTGGGCTGAGCCTTCTCCACAACAGTCTTACCCAGGTCTCAGGGGGAGTGTGGGGAGCTGCTTTAAGGTATGTATTCTCTTAAATTTTCCTTTTTTGTTTTGTTTTTTCAGCTACCAGTATTTTATTTTGCCTTTTCAGAAAATATATGGAAGCATTAAGATTATCCTTGTCCATCTCTCTATCGACATGAAGTTCATTTCTGTTCAGTTCTTAAAGGAAGGCTTTGTGGATGAATGGTAAATTTGGCATGTAGTGTCATATCATGAATACTTAGGCTGAACCTGACAATATACATCTTATATGGCCTGTTTTCAGCAAAGAAATTCCAACAGGGTTATGCAGTACATCACTTGCAATGATAGTCTCGTTCTGTCAAATTCAATAAACTCCCTCTAACCCAACTCCCTTAATCTGGATCCCTTGCAAACTACACTGGGATCCAGCACCAGACATGTGTATCCCCAACCCAGAAAACACAACCAAGATCTGGTTAGCAGGGAGGAAAATCCCAGTAAGCTGGTGACTTTGGTGCATGGCTCAGAGATGGCAGCAGGTGTCTCATCATGTAGTTTTGGAGGGAGTGCAACTTAGCCTCTGGCATACTCTATTAATAAACCGCTTATTATTATTATTACACACACACACACCTACCTACCTACTTCTGGCGCTGCTCAGCAGCAGCCACGTCAACTATTACGTTGGCCCACACCAACTCCCTCCTCCCCACCGGAATATTAACAAGTTCTCGCCAGAAGTTACTATTTCATTTGGAAAAGGAATGGAACCAGTGTTGAATAGTGGTGAACAGTGCTAAGTCAGTGAAAAACAACTCGGCAGTTACAATTGAGTCTTACCCAAGCTAACCTTCACACAGTAAGGTCCCAGGTACCCAGTGATAATTCCCCTGAGACTCCACGATAGAGAGGCCTGGGACCACACCTTACCCACTTGAGTGAGTAAAGTCCTGTGACAACGGACCACGTGGTGTCCCCATGATGCTACAACACCACGTAGTGAATGAGTTGCTACAGCATCATGTGAAGTTCCTCATAACACCATCTGCGAGGGAATTACTACACCACGTGATGCCCCTCATAACACCATCTGTGAGGGAATTACTACACCACATCAGGCCCCTCATAACACCATCTGTGAGGGAATTACTACACCACGTCAAGCCCCTCATAACACCACCTGTGAGGGAATTATTACACCACATCAGGCCCCTCATACACCATCTGTGAGGGAGTTACTACACCACATCAGGCCCCTCATAACACCACCTGTGAGGGAACTAGTACTCCACTTGATGCCCCTCATAACGCCATCTGTGAGGGAGTTACTACACTACGTGTCTGCTGTTCAACACCTCAGCTCACATGATCTACGTGTGTAAACATTAATCTGTATGTTCACTGTATGTTCCTTCACTTTTCTCTAATGAAGGCTTTTGTTAAAGCAACAATGTATGTAATAAGTAATTTATGTCCAATGTATATTTTCAGCCTTCAGGCTGCAAACTTTTTCAATAAGCCGTTTATTATTATTATTATCACACACACACACACACACACACACACACACACACACACACACACACTAATGAATGGAAAACCACATTTGTCACCCCCATCCCCAAGGTCACCACCCCACAGTCCCCTAATGACCTCAGGCCAGTTGCCATTACCCCCATACCCAGTCTACTTTGTGAGGACTTTGTTTTTGAGTGGGCATTTGCAAGAATCTATCAGTCAATTGATCCACAGCTATTTGGCAATATGAGGACCTCCTCTACATCACACTGCTTAGTGAGCTTTCTGGATTTTCTGCATAAAAACCTGCAGAAATGTAAGACATCACTGGCCGTTGCTCTTGTTGACTTCAGGAAGGCCTTTGACCTTGTTGATCACTGCACTGTTATCAACAAGGCCATTTCACTCGGGCTGCCCACCAACCTGGTCTCATGGCTCACTTATTTCTTGAGTGAACGTCGCCAGGCAGTGAGGTATCAGGGCTTGGTCTCCACATTCCAACACCTCACCTGCGGTGTTCCCCAGGGGACCAAGATGAGACCACTGTGCTTCCTCATCCTGATCAACGACGCTCTATCGGACACTCCTCACAGGTGGAAGTACGCGGATGACTGCACTGTGGGGGTTTCAGTGGACAACACCACACCAGACTACTCATCGCTACAAGGCACCCTGGACAGGCTACAGGCATGGACTACGGAGAACAAGGTCACCATCAACCACACCAAAACCGTAGTCATGCACATCAATACCGCCACCACGCCAGTGCAAGCCCCAGCAGTCACAGTGGGTGCCCAATAGCCCATCCTCTCCAGCTGGTGCAGTCTGCCAAACTCCTGGGTGTTACTATAGACAACAAACTTGACTGGAAGGCCCATGTAAATAACACAGTCAAGGCAGCCTCGTACCGTCTCTGCATGCTACGATGATTTAGGTCACTTGGGACACCCACGCCAGAGCTGAGGACCATCTACAACGCCTTTATTCTCCCCAAACTAACGTATGCGTCACCAACCTGGTTGTCTTCCCTCAACTCCACCCAACAATGTCAACTAGAGAAGGTACAGAAAAGGGCCTGCAGAATCATGCTCCTCGTTGACTACTCCGGCTACACCAACGCTCTCTCCACCCTGGAAATGCCATCCCTCAGTGACCTCCACCACCAAGCACTGGAAAGGTTTGGCAGCCAACTATTGCACCACCCTCGTCATCGCCACCTCCTGCCACCGGCAGCCCACCTCGCGCAGTCCGTCACTACAACACACACACACACACACACACGGTAAAAGAAATTGCTGTCTCTAGAACGAAAGGCTCTTTGTCCTGGCCGCAAAAATGACCGCAACTTTAAAACTATCCCGAGTCATTCATGGGTACATCCAGGGTGTCATCCGCGAATAATGGAGGTCCACGGATTAAAAATCTGCAAATTGTCAGGGCATGTTGTATTATATTTTCATTATTTCTAAGCCACATTGTTATATAGAGTAGAATAATTGTTAAAGAAGTCCGTTTTTCTGAAAGTCGCATCAGGAGTCAGCTGGCTGACATGCCAGTCAGCTGTGGCCTGTGAGAGATGGTAATGCCTGTTGCCATTGTTACATATAAGGAAACTATAAAAGTTGTGGAAAATCATTTCACTGCATCACACAACCAGCTTTGCTGTAAGTTTAGTTTATCCTCTTTGCCATTGATTGTGAAGTTGATTTCAGCAGAGAATATTTAGGAAAAATAATGAAAGCATAAAAAAGCTAAAATTATACAAGATAATGCACACACTGGATTGCACCTCAGCTGGGATGTGCTGTCACTGTCAACCGACCTTTAGCAACTTTTGCTAAGGGTCAGTAGGCAGAGGCACCCAACCCAAACTCCTTCCCCTGCTCGGTGCACACGGCAGTTGAAGCCGAGAGAGGCGCAAGTGGAAGTATCTTCCCCATCCATACACTCCTGTACACACTGCGTCTTTTTATTTTTGCCTTTGCCAAGCGCATAAAGTTGAATGCACATAAGTTAAATGGGCATAAGGTGCGACACGACTGAATTCGGTGGAAGAAAAAACTTTTACAAGTACAAACAATTTATGTAGGTGAGCTGATGGCCTGAAGCTTTATCTGATATAAGCAGTGCCTTGTGTGTCATGCTTTTTTATGGCACAGTATTCCCTCAATGCTGGGCAAAATTATTTTTTTAACCAATTAACAAAAATGGTCAATGTCATCCATGCTTTGCTGTTTTACTCCCAAATTACTGGTAAAGTTTGTTTACATACACACTTATGAATGCTCTAGGGCTTACAGAGTGACATACAGCGAGAGGTTTGAGTTTAAAGTCAACTTCTGCATTACCACCCAACAGGAGTGTGATATTATGATCTTTGGCTGCTTTGAATCCTGGTGTAGCTTTTTCTAACATGGAAATAAATAACTAGAAAGGCATTCTCTTCCAGTGTAGTCAGGTCTTATCAACGTTAAAAACTTGACTGGGCAAGTAGCCGCCTTCCTCGATTATTTTATGTAGTTCTTCTGGATAGCCAGCAGCAGCAGATGAATCACCACTTGCTGCCTCACTAATGACTTTTAAATGTAACCCATGGCATTGTTTAGACCAAGCAAACCAGCCTCAACACCCACTGAACTTTTTGGTTTTTGCACTTGCACTTTTACTTCTATTTTTAAGATAACTGAACAATGCTAGGGCTTTTGTTTGAATAATTATAGTGCCCATTAGGGTATGCATCTGATTTTTCTCTTCAATCCATATAAAGTGCTTAAAAGTCTCTCCATTTCCTCCATAACCCCACTCCACCTTTGGCAAACTTTTTTTGCACTTATCGAAGTTGTAGACTGAGCATTTTTTTTCTTCATTCTTACGGATAGTTTTAACTGTTGATTCCGCCATCCCCAAAGCGCGTGAAATATCCACAGACCTATCACCTTTTCCATATCATTTTAACACTTTTAGCTTTGAAACCAACATTACCATCACTTGCTCTCTGGCTCATGTTTAATAAAGGCACAAAAATGCCTTACGATACCCAAGAAAGTTTTACTCGTGTTCCTGTTCAGATACGTGAAAATGAAATGCCTGCTAAGCTGCGACTTTCATGTTAGTGATGCGCAAGGCGTGTTTTTTTTGTTTTTTTTACACGTGTAATACATATCAGGATTTAGTTATTATTTATATGAATATGTCATTTTGTATTTTATTTTTTATTCTATTTTCTTCATAAATACGAATAAAATAATGGTTTAAATTGAATCGGATCCTAAATTAACCTGGGTTTTAAATATGAATCATTGTTATTCGAGGCTTTCCTGTTAAACCTCGCTTTACGATATCCCAATCAACAATAATTTGCGTTAACAATGCTGATCACATATTTCTTTAAGATTTTTAATGTTCACATATACATATGATATATTTGTTTATATACCTATAAAGTGAGATGATATTGTTAAGTTTTATTAATGTTCCACAGTTATTTAATGTCATCTGGTCGAAGCTGCATAGTCCGGACTTCTGCTGCCCAGCTCCTAATCAAGCTAACACAAACTGGACCAACAGCAAGTAACCCCTGGATCTCTCCAATTGTTGCTGATACAATCACTGGAGTAAGAAATGATATGTACAGTATTTGATATACAGTAGAAGTCCAAAAATCCGGCCTGCTTGGGGATTGGGTCGGTCCGGATTTTCGGATTTTCCGGATTCTCAGGCAGTACTTTTAAAATTCAAATTTAAGGAGGAATAAAGAAGAGATGAACAGGTACATTTTGATAGTTTTTCATTAGCAAATATAGCATGCTTCATTTATTAAAATGAGCAGTTTTAAAAAAAAAGCTGTGAATTCTAGAATTTTATTCTTTGCCTTTTTTATATCATAAATTGTAGACTTTCCAATGTCGTATGTTTCCATTAGAACAGTATTGCTCACACCACGTTCTAGTTTCTTAGTTATTTCAAGTTTGTCACTCAATTTCAACATGTTCTTCCTTCTCTTCACACAACGAAGTTTATCTACTTTACGAGCCATTATTATGGGCTTGCACAGTACTCTGTAAATGGAAAGAGTAGGACTCAAAATTACATATGTTGTCACAGTTTGATTGCTCGTTTTAAATTGGCGACCGCGTGGTCGCTTGTAGTCGCTGTGCAGCTGTGGCACTCACGCATGCGCACATACACACAAAAGCCAGCTAAATTTAAAAAAAAAAAAAAATGAGTTTTCGAAAAGTCTAGATTCTCGGGTGGTCCGGATTTCTGGACTTTTACTACATTTGTATTTTTTCTCTTTATCCTCAGATGTTCCCCATTAGTAAATGGTTTTTCAGATGAATCAGTCACCTTATCTCCATAATGTCCATAATGTGTCATATTATGATATTACCTTTATTGAAATTACAGTAGTACTGTAGCATACTGTTGTGGCAGGTTGTCAGGGTCTCTTATTTGGCCTCACAACATACGTACATGTAATATATCCAACACTCAGGATTGAGGTAGAATAGAAAGTCGCAATGTGTTTCCCGTATATATATATTGTTGCACAGCACAGTGTTAAAGAGATACTAGGTCGGGTGAAGCTTGCTCAGCGTACCTGTAGGGCGAGGAGCTTTCTGAGGGAGTGTGTGGTGTGGAGCTGTTGAGAGATGTTGCTTGCTGGTAGCAGTAAGTAGTAAGAGGTCGATGACGGCCAGGTGAAGTCTTATATAGCGGGAGTAGGCGTGGCTTGATGGTAGGCCCCCCGCTTTGTTCAGCGTCGCTGGTTACCTGACCTTGACCACGAGGGATACGCTGGTAGATTCGCAGGGGGTCGGTTAGTCAGCGACACACGGCAATACTCCCCCTCCCCTCCCCTCCGGGCGCGACGGGAGACTGGATGTTGGCCGGGTTGCGTCCCACACGTGATACAAACCGGGCAGTCGTACGTACGACTCGGCCGTTGCGGGTGACAACTCCGTCTAGTGACACAGAACCTGTGGGAGAACGGGGGAGAAGGAGGGTTTTGGATTAGAGGAGGTTGTACAGGCAATGGTTGTTGTGCTTCTATCGCGGCTGGGGCAGCGTCCTCAGAGGCACTGGCTGGGTTGACTGGGTCAGGGGCAACGTCAGGAGTAGGGTCCATGACAGGAGCAGGTTCTATGACGGCAGCAGGGTTCACGACAGGAGGAGGGTCAATGATAGGAGAAGGTTCTACTATGGCAGCAGGGTCCAGGACAAGAGCAGGGGGTACCTGAGGGTGAAAAGAGGGTGCCTTGTGGGCGGGGTGTTGCTGCCGGTGGCAACTGCGGGTAGACTGGTGCAGGTGTCGTTTGTTGGTGGTGCTGCTGGGTCGGGGGCTTAATGGGTAAGGTGGCCGGCTTGACACGGTCTGTGCTGACGGTCTCGTGTCTGCCATTCCAGATAATCGTCAGGAACTTCGCTGAACGGGTAACAATCTGGAAGGGTCCATCATAGGGGCGTTGTAGTGGGTTGTGGCGAGCATCATGCCTGATGAAAACATACTCGGCTGTGAGTAGTGCAGGAGGGATGTGTTGAGGGTGCCGAGGAGGCTGGCGTGGAGCAGTAGCTCTGAATGCAGAAACTGCATGTCGTAGCTTTTGGAGTAAGTAGTGACGGACGGCGGGAGTGGTTTGGTGCAGGTCAGGAGGGAGTGAGAAATCCCCGGGTAGGCGAAGGGGCTCACCTAGGGTGAGATCTGCTGGGCTACAGTCCATATCCTCCTTGTGTGAAGCACGGATGCCGAGGAGCACTAAGGATAGCGCATCCGTCCAGCTGTAAGGGTTGTGCTGTGCTTTGAGTGCATCCTTCCGCTGCTGGTGAAACCGCTCTACCATGCCGTTGGCTTGAGGGTGGTATGCGGTGGTGCGTTGCCTAGTCGTGCCGAGGAACTGTAGGATGCTGTACCAGAGTTGTGACTTAAACTGGGCTCCTCGGTTGGTGAAGACGGTAGCGGGGGGGGGCCGAAGCGGGAAACCCAACCGGACATGAAGGCGCGGATGTCAGACTCTGCTGTAGCATTGGGCATGGGGATGGCTTCTGTCCACCTGGTGAAATGGTCGATGCAGGTGAAGATGTAGGTGCTACCGCAGGATGATGGAAGAGGTCCCACTATGTCGAGGTGCACTACATGGAAACGTCCTTTGGGTATAGGGAAAGTTTCTAAAGGGGCCCTTGTGTGATGATGTATTTTGGAGGACTGACAGGCCAGGCACTGGGCAGCCCATTTCTTAGTATTGGGCTTGATGCCGGGCCAGACGACACGTTACGTGAGGAGGCGCTGGAAGGCCCACACACCCGGGTGACTGAGACCATGGATGCGGTCGAAAACAGTTCGGCAGTGGATGTGAGGCACGAACGGTCTAGGCTGCCCACAGGATACGTCGCACCACAATTTGATGCTTGTGCCGGGGATTGGGAGTTCTTGGAGTGTGAGGCCTGAGAGAGATGTCTTGTATGCTGCCAGGTCTTCGTCATTTTCTTGAGCCGCGGCAAGTTGCCCGTAATCAATGGGTGGAGATGAGGGGAGAATGTTGAATATACAACAAGAGAAGGCATCGGCGATCTCGTTGTGGCTGCCTTTAATGTGTTGGACGTCGCTGGAGAACTCCGAGATATACGCCAAGTGGCGCAGGACGCGAGGTGTATGTGACTGGGAGGTTGAAGTAAAGGCGTGGACGAGGGGCTTGTGATCAGTGATGATGGTGAACTGACGGGCCTCGAGGAAGTGCTGGAAATGCATGACAGCCAGGTATACGGCCAGGAGTTCTCGATCGAAGGCGCTGTATTTGAGGTGTGGTGGTTGAAGCCCTTGTGAGAAGAATGCAATGGGCATGGGAACTCCTTTGATCTCCTGCTGTAAGACGGCGCCACTGCAGTAGAAGAAGCGTCTGTTGTGAGAGTGGTCCAGGTGTTAGGTGCAGGGTGGGCTAGGAGGGTAAGGCGTGTGATGTGCTCTTTGATAGCGGTGAATGCCATAACAGCCTTTTGAGTCCACACGAGAGGCTTGTGAGACTTCTTTGGGAGTCCTTTGAGAAGGTCGTAGAGGGGAAATAGGATGTTGGCAATGAAGCGGTGGTAGTAGTTGACTAAACCCAGGAATTCTCGGAGTTTCTTCGCCGTTTCAGGTTTGGGGAACTCCCTGATGGTAGTTATCTTCTGTGGTAGGGGTTGGATGCCACTAGGCGAGACTCTGTGACCGAGGAAATCGATGGATGGAGCTCCGAAGACGCACTTAGCAGGGTGAACTTTCATGTTGTTGTTCTGCAGGCGTTGGAGGAGGAGTTGTAGTTGGTGATGATGCTCGGCAGGCGTCGAAGATGCGACGAGGATGTCGTCTATGTAGATGGTGACAAAATCAAGGTCGCGAAGCATATGGTCCATGTACCTCTGGAAAGTCTGTGCTGCATTTTGTAGGCCAAAACTCATGAAAGTATACTCGAAGAGTCCGAATGGAGTGGTGATGGCTGTCTTCTGGGTATCTGCAGGTGCTACAGGGATCTGGTGGAAGGCACGCTCCAAGTCGATCTTCGAGAAGATTGTCTTGCCATGAAGTTTGTGGTGGAAGTCCTGGACATGCAGAATAGGATACCTGTCAGGTTTGGTGACGAGGTCCAGGGCTCTGTAGTCGCCACACACCATCCAGTCGCCGGAAGATGGCTTAAGAACCATGTGAAGAGGCGATGCCCAGGAACTCTTTGAAAGACGAATGATGCCGTCTTGCAGTAGTTTGTTGAATTCCGCCTTGGCTGCGTTCAGGAGCTCAGGGCGCAGGCGGCAGGGGCGTGAGAAGACTGGAGGTCCTTTGTGTGGTGGGATGTATATCCTAGACAAGGTTCTTGAAACTCCAGGGCACGAGCAGTAGATATATTCCATAAGTAGTACAAGACTTGGTAGGATAACCAACAGGTACAGAAAAACAGGGACAAGCAAAAAGGACTCCGTGTCGTAGCCAGGCCGAAGCCGATCTGAGGGAAGTTAGCTAGCTAGGTAGGGAGAGTTGCTAGACATTACTAGGACAATAAATGACGTCTTCTAGTTACTTGACTAGCGCGGTACAGACATAGTACATCGGGACATAGTAAGTGAACATAGGCATTAGACATAAGCATAGATATCAGACATGCTATAATAATATGTAGTAATACAGACATGTGAATAAATGGTACAATGAATGGTAACAGAGTCTTGCCGTCAGGTGTGTTCACATATCTTGGTATTTACATATCTATACACTTTGGTCTCGATGTGGTGGAAAATTCCCAACGTAGGTGGTGGGGGTGGAGAGACTCGGGATGAGAAAAGTTCCTTGAACTCTTCGAGCAGGGGGTAGAACTCGTTGGACGGCGAAAGACAGGTGATAGTGTCCGTGTCTTTGGCACATGAACCCTTGATCTTGCGTGCTGTAGGCTCATGGATGAGACAAAGGTGGCTTGGGTCGACTCCGAGCTTATGGAAGGTGAGGAAGTCGAAGCCATTGATGGGTTGAGACACGTCTGCGACTACGAATGACCAGCTCAGAGTCTTGGGCAGACCGAGGTCTAAGGAGAGGGTGCGTGCGCCGTAGGAGGCGATGGGGGTACCGTTGGCGGCGAACAGGTCATAAGAAGGTTGCCTTGACGTGTCTTGTCGTGAGGGAAGGATGAGAGAGTGGGAAGAGGCCTCAGAGTATACAAAGCAGGGAGTGTTGCTAGGGAATTAGTGTCCCAGGTGGTCCCCATTGCTATAGTCAAGCAGAGAGTGTATGCAAATGGCGACTGTGTTAGATTTTCGTTTTGCTTTTATTTACTGATTTGGCAATACATTATTTTTGGTTGTAACTTATATATTTATTGGTATTATTTTTATTTATTCCTCACATTTCCTGGCACAGTACGCCCTGATAATTTACGGATTATTATTTCGCGGTCCTCTATTAATCATGGATGACATCCTGGATGTACCCAAGAAGTCTGCGGGTAGTTTTAGAATTGACGGAATTTTTGCGGCCGGGACAGGGAGACATTCGTTCTGGAGACAGTAATTACCTGTACTGCATTGTATATGTGTGTGTGTGTGTAGACACTACACACAAAACACATACAAATAAATAATAATGGGAAAATCCTCTCACAAATAATCAGAAACATATACAGTGGTCCCTTGGTTAACGAACGCCTCGGTTAACGAATTACCTTCCATAAGAATCTTCAATTCGGTTAACGAAAAAAATTTGATAAATGAAATCCTTACGAAAATCACATTTTGTTTTGAACATCAGCTGATAAGCTGAGGAGGTACAGTGGGGTATGCTATAACAAACGGATCCTACTACGAATATTCCTATAACGAACGGTTTTACCTATAAAATTGAGAATGCTATAACAAACGCAACTCCTACAACGAACGCGGATGAATACAGGACTATTTCGCCTGGCGCATGAATACTGTTGTACCGCGACCCACAACAAGAGCATCAGGCGCCATCTTTGTCTCATTGTGTAGCCAGTGCACCACTGCTATTGTTGAAATTTCGTCTTTTGATGTGGAAATTCGCGTTATTTGTATAACTATTTTGTTATACAAGTATACAATTGTAACAATAAGTCGTCCAAAGCGAGCGAGAAAGCTAATAACCCTTGAAACTAAAAAAGAAATTATAAAGAAACGTGAGAATGGAAGAAGCATTGCGAAACTTAGTGATGAATATGGGATGGCTAAATCGACTATATGTACGATTTTGAAGAATAAAGAAGAGTTAAAAACTGTGCAAGTGGCTAAGGGAATCTTTAGACTTAGCAAAGCAAAGTGTAATGTGATTGAAGAGATGGAAAATTTACTCTTAGTGTGGATAAAGGAGAAAGAAATGGCAGGTGGTAACATTAGTGAAGCTATAATTTGTGAGAAGGCCAGACAATTGTTTGAGGACCTTAAAGCCAAGACTCCCAGTGAAAGTGATAGTGATGTGCCAGTGTTTAGGGGTACCTGCATGCTGAAT